GAAAGTAAAAATGTACATGAAAATAATTAAAGAACTGATGGTAGAGAGCAATTTTCATGTGAAGAAAAACTTCCATCTTCAATATTTTAGTTGAAGGGAAAATGAAAACTTTTGTAAACTCCGAAAATTCGAAGTGGAAAACCAAAATAATAATCGAACCTAAACCATCTTTATAAGCGTTCTATTGTGACAAGAAATTTAAAGAACAAATTTGGAGCCATTTTTGAGAAAAATATAAATGTTTAAAATCGCAGAGCTTTCAGACGCCTCAGATCGACCGCGATATATTCATTTTGGGAAAACTACGAAACGTTTACGCGCTAGTGTTTTTCACAGACAGGAAGACGAATGGACGTAATGACGAAAAAATCGGTATCAAGAGCCCACAAATCGTGAAATCTGACTACACAGCATGTCAGAAGAAGTAATTTCGTACGTATTCGAACAAGATTATCCACTTCTCTGTATCAGGGCCTCAAAATTTTTTTCTGACGCAAATCGCCGTTTTTGCCGCTGAATTGCACAACTTTTTCATTACTATAAAACTCCTATAACATTAATCCGTATATACCGGGTGTCCCTCCAACTGTGGCCCACCCTTATATCTTCTAAAGGGTTCACGATATCGAAATGCAGCTTTCGCTTACCAATGAGGATTCTTGGAGCAAGTAATATGCGATTGTGATATTGTTCGTAATATTTTGTTATTGGGAAATTTAATTATCTTTGATCTTTTTAAATGGAGCTGTATATTTGTCTCACTTGCAATGTATAATCATTAAAAGAGGAATACAATAATGCATCATTTGTTAATGTTTTACCAGTAGTTTGACTACAAAATAAATTTGTAATTTTACTAACGTGATTGAAAACGTGCGGTTTTGAATTAAACTGACAAAATTTCCTTTAGTAATCTTTGCAACTGTGGCTTTGGGGAAGGTGGCCTTGTCTTCGAGGCGCCGCGCCACTTATTGCAAAGACCACTTATGCAAAAAGGTCAGCGGCCACGCATATTTCATTTATTAACGGTTACAACTTCCTCTTAAAAAAGAGATAAAAAAGAAATGGTTTTCTCTATTACTTGTTGCACAAAAGTCTTTTTGCACACGCGCGAAGGCCTGAATTATCAGAACCCCGATTTATCGGCTACATGTTCTGACGGCCTTTTTTCTCCATAACCAATGACTGTTTAAGACACATTCCTCTTTTTAGACTATAAACATTTACTTAACAGTCACAAATACCAGAAAGTCAGCGCCAATTGGGCAACACAGCTTGAATATTTCATAATATGAATTCTTCTTTGGAATGTGATGCGATCCATATATTGTTTTGAATAATTTGAATAAAATTATAACAAAAAGTTTGGAGAGATGAGCTTTAACTTTCTGAAATGGATTGCGTTATTTAAAAAAAATCTAACGAGTATTAAAGTCCTTTTTTTATCTAGCTTCTTGCTTCTGCGCGATGTGAACCCTCAATGGTCTTGTTTATTTATGCACTAAAAATCTTTCTTCGTGTCCAATCCTTGTGAAAGAGGAAAAAGATAAATTTTATATAAATCCTGATGTTTCAGATTATTACTTTCAATGAAATTGGTTCAAGTTTTAATTAAATACTACAATTTTATTTCACTTCATTTTACAGTTCATTGATATTACGTAGCTGTCTTGCTGCACAGCTTTTCACATCTGACGCATCTATCTATTAGGTATCAGTTCTGCTACAGTGTATGTCATAAAGTAGCGCAGCTCAGCCCGATACATATGATTATAATTACATAACTGAACCTGCATTTTGACGTTGAGTGAGTAGTACGGTGTAAAGCCGCCACGCGCTGCCATCAGAGCCTCTAGAATTTGTGGTATGGATTCAAAGAGAGATTGAAAATGTTGCTGGGGAACACAGTGCCGCGCGGTTCCTATGCTGTGACCACAAAGCATCGACAGTGGCTGCAGGAGGACCAGAACGAACAAGTTGCCGACCGATCATATCCCAGACGTATACGATGGGCGACATGTCAGGCGACCTTGCGGGCCAGCGAAGGAGTGGTACTCGTCGTTCTTCGCAGAAAGCTTTCACTTTCCTCGCCACATGAGGTCAGACATTGTCCTGCTGAAGTATGGCACGTAGAGGTGCATGCAGGAGGGTAAGTACCTCGAGTTCTAATGTAGCGGTTGCTGTTCAGATTGCCCTCAAGTCGTTTGAGGCGATATCGCACATTGTAGCCAATGGCGCCCGAAACCACAACACTTGGCCTTTGACTGCTATGGCGCGGAACGTGCAGGCTGGCAGATTGCGATCACCGCGGTAGTGTCGAACACGTATGCGGCCATCGCTGTACAATAAATTGAAGCGGGAATCGTCCGAAAACACCACATGTTGCCATTCAGTGAACCAGTGAACACGTTCGCGTGCCCATTGCTATCTGAGGCTTTGGTAGTTTCTGAACAAAGGATTCCGTGGCAGCGGTATGCGTGCCACCAGTCCAGCCCTCAGCAGACAGCGTCGAACCGTCGACGCAGATATGACCCTACCCGTTGCAGTGCTTCAAAGTTGAGGCAACACTGTGGGCGCCTCTGTGCCGGTTACGGCCATGCGGACAAGATGGCGGTCATCTCGCGCCGTGGTGACATTGTGTGGTCCTCCCCCTCGTCGTTCTGTACGACCCTCCTCAATTCACTGGTTCCACACATGCATCACTGTTTTGCAGCGCGCCCCATTCGAGCCGCAACCTCACGGTATGACAAACCCGCTTCTCGAAGACCGATGATTTTGACCCCTCAAATGCTGGCAGTGCGCCCTTTGGCGTCGACGAGACATACTGGCACCTGCTTGCACGTTTCCACGTTGCTTGACGGCTCTACACTGACTGGGTGTGGCATAACACTGACCTGACATATCACTCTAAATAAGGCGCTGCTAGGCCAACGTGCATGCCATCTCTAAGTAAATTTATTCATTTCTTATGAATACATGGATACACATCCACCAATTTTTAAATGATTCCGGCCATTCCTTCTGAGTGTTGCACTTTTCACAAACAGTGTATAATCCAGTGTACGATGGGTATGAAATTATATATTTCGTTGTCTTAAAATAATATAATAATTGTGGTATTCGCAGAGAATAATTATGGTATTTCTTAATTAATTTAAAACTTGTTTGGTTTCAGACTACGTCCCCCCCCCCCCCCAGCTTGTACAGTGCGCCTGGAAAGTCTCTCCGCAGTGTCACCATGTTAGGGAGAGTGCTAGGGAAAAAATGCTGGTATTACGAGAACCAGGCGGGACTTAGAGCTTCCGAAGGGGTTCCGAAGGGGGCGAGATGACGGTAAACACGCGATTCTAACGCCTCGCACGACAGCGAAACCGTGGCGGCGGCTGGCTCCAACTCGGGTGGTCTCTGAGAGTCATTTCTGGCGCGCTGAACATGGTACCGGAAGGGCAAGGCGCGGAAATAAATCGTGACCAATTTACCATGCATTTCGAAGATATATTGTTCGGGCGCCTGTTAATAATAATAATAATAATAATAATAATAATAATAATGCCTATTTCTGGCGGGGCTCAGGCCATGAGGCCTGCTTTTCCCCCTAATCACTTAAATCACTACATTAATATAATTACAATTGTTACCTGTTTCTATCTTCACACGGAATCACTTTTACATAGTCATCTACTTGCCATCTCTTTCATTGCAAATTATTAACAGATACAAGCAGGGCCGGACATTCCTACAAGCAAAACATTCAGTTGATTGTGGACCCTGCCCTGGAAAAGGTGCATGCATTATACCAATTTTCTGCAGTCAAGGGTAAAAAAAAATGATATGAAACTAAATATGAATTTGTACCAAGAAATGAATTTATAAAGAAAATAATTCTTTAAGTAATTTGCTAATTTTACAAATGTATTTGTAAAAGAAGTTATAGTAATAAATTAATGCTTGTTTTTAATAAATCTGGAGGAATTTTTTCCAAGATTTTGTGCTTGGGGCCCCGCAGTACCTAAATCTAGCCCTGGTTTCATGTGGAGTTTCCTACTGGGAAATATTGGTGGAAACTTCCAGCATAAGGAAGTCTACCTCATTCTGGAAGTACTACCTCAGTACAACACTGCTTGTAAAACAAAATCCACAAAAATATGACAGATGACTACAATAATCTGAAAAATGGTACATATATGTTTGTGGAAGTTGTGACTTAGTTTGCTTCCTACACGATTAATTTTTAATGGTCCAATTTTGCTGAAGAAATTGATTTTAACAATCATACTGATTTTTGACCACTTGATTTTTAATGGTGCTGGAGACAAGGTTTGGAGATTTTCCCCGCCAGTTATCATGTATATTGGGCACTCCACCTCTTCATAAAGTATTATACTATTGACTTTTTTTAAAATATGTTTCTTTTTCAGTAATAATCTAAATTTATTTCTCGAAATATATTTCTTATGCTTCCAGGAAACATTCAAACTATATCAATTGAGTTTTGTCTCATGATTGAACTATAATATATATTATCAGCAATTATAAAAAAAATGTAATATTAAATGACATTAATAATACATTTTCTGATTGATAATATTGATTTATGTCTTGGCAATTGGTACTCACATTCTCTTCATGCCATAAAAAGTCCTGTACCAAGCATAACTGCAATTTCTCTTACTTCAGTCTCTCTATACATATTTATATTGAATTACAGTGGATTTTGAATAATGTATTATGACATCTGGACTTCTCAGACATAATGTAATACAATCTTGACATTTTCTTTTCTGATAATTGACGTATTTTGTATTGCAGAAAAATTCAATTAAATTTTTCGTTGAGATAGCAGAGTAGCAAACAAGAAGTAAATGTAGTGTTTGCCGTTTTGCTGCTCCATCAAAGGCAGAAGACTACAGGTGGCTACATTTCAGTTGAAAAAACTTCCCCTTCAGCTGAGAAAGCAAAGAATAATAAAACAATGAGTCGTTAAAATCTCACCAAAAATGAATAAACTAGCATATCTAATAAACAGTTTTATTTTTTCATTTCAATGGAATGTTAAAATAACAATTATTATTAACATTTGTTTATAAAAAAATACGAGTATTTCGGTCAACACAAAAAATAAATGCATCTACAAAACAGCATAACAATATAATTCCACAATAATCTCAGCTTTTATGCCATTATTTCTTTATATGTCTTTTGATCTTCTACCATCTTCAAAAATACTTTATATTTCTTCTTATGATACCTAAAAAAAGGAAGAAGTTATGTGCTTTATCATAATCTCTTCAAATTCAATATATTTCACATACACAAATAATTCTATTAAAAAAAATTAAGCACCTGTGATCTTCAGGGTTTGGTTGAACTACATTTGCTTTTCCTCCCATTCCAACAATAGCAGCCTGGATATTGGAAAATTCACCAGCAGCACATGCACCCAGAATAGCTGCTCCGAGTAAAACGGATTCAGCTTCATGGGGACAAAGTACAGGCATTCCTACCACATCTGCTTGTGTTTGCACAAAAAGTGGATTACTGCTGAGCCCTCCACAAATTAATATTGATTGAAAGTCAGCATAACCAGATGCACGAAGTACTTCTATTATATGTTGAGTTCCATACTGGTATAAAGAAAGTTTAAAAAAAAAAGTTAAAATTTGAAAGAAAAATATATTACATGTACACAGATAAGCACATGAATCATAGAATTTGCAACACATATCACTTACAGCTAAGGCTTGTACGGTTGCCAAATAGAGGATGGCTAGGCTTTCTTCATCAGACGAGAGACTCAAACCAGAAACCTGCCATATGGATTATGATATGAATCACAGAAAAAAAAAATGAAGCAAAACAATGCATTAAATAACTTCCTACAATACTTTGAATTAGTAACACAGTAATATTCTATGAAAAGCCCATTTAGTGAAACAAATGTTTCAGGATAACACTTCTTGTTTCCATGAGAATGCCAAGCATACCACTTTATCAGAGAAAGTGGCATTACTACTTTTTAAAAAAAAAAAAAAAAAAAAACCAGCAGGAAATTGGGAGTGCAGGAATCACTAGAAGCCACATGCAAGAGAACCCAAAGCCAGCATTTCTACGATACTTACTCGTATGTGCAGATACCCAGCATATAAAGCTTTCTGTTTGCCACAGCACTAAGCCATACAATTGTACTAACCTCATAATGAATCACCAACCCAAGCATGCTTCCACTCAGAGATGATCAACTACCACCATGTTCACCACCTGAAGTGAACCCAGGAAATGTAGCCACAGCAGTACAAAACCCAACAGCCAGGAAAGCCATAGGAAGAGGATGCTGAAGGCAACCAATACATGAAATATTGGGAAAGTTAGAAAGTTAACTTATTTTGTGATAATTCGTATTTGAAATTACATATTTTTTGAAAGAAACATTTTGAAGGAAATAATTTCACATGCAAAAATAATTGAATATCTTTTGTTAGCTGAAAAAACTTTAAGTATGTGCTATGAAAGTCTTGCCAAATAAATTGAAGATATATCTATCTACAGACTATTCAAATTTCTGTAAATAAATTCTTAAACTTTTGAATATCCTGAGATAAATTTACAGTAGTGTCTGAAGAAATATAAAATATCACTGGCTGTTGCATGTGCTGTGAAAATGGCAATGAAACTAACAATTAGGGAAAAACATTAACATACAATTATCACAGCCAACTTTCACAAGACAATTTGTGCCCCATTTCAATGAATGAAACAATAAATCTGCATATTCAAAACAAACCATACCATTCCTAGAAGAGATGGATCTGCTAGTGGAGAACGGTTGCCATGGAAATCTGGCCAAACATGAATATCAGAAGTTAAATAAGCAGGAGATTCCAAGCCTTTCTTTTTTGCCAGATCTTTCAGCAAATTACTTAAATATGTTTGGATATGCCTGAAACATATTATTTAAAATATAAACAAAATAAAACAAAGTTTACGAAGCACAATAGTGAAAAGCTTGAAACAGTTATGAGAATATCATACATTTCATTTCCGATTTTCTGCATGATATTGGCACTAGCTGGATGTGAATCTATGACATGATCTATTAATTTTCCTGTAGCACTCTGGCCACCTTCATTGAGCCAATATCCTGGGACCATTGCACTATAATAGGGACCCCACACTCCTTGAACAAAATGGGGATTTTTACTAATTGCCATATGACAGGTTGATGTTCCGCAAATTAATCCTGATGAAAATAAAAATAACAAGTCTAAAAGTGTGAACTCCAGAGTCATAGAAACAATCATGATCAAAACAAATAATGTTACCAAGTCTTGTGTGAAATTCTGCGGAAACTCCAGCAGCTGAGCATCCTAACATTCCAACCCCTCCAGCATGAGCATCAATAATAGATGTTCCCACAGGTGTACCAGGAAGTAATCCCAGTTCATTGGCAGCAGTTGCAGTTAGACCATCACCACATGGATCACCTGGGGCCAAGACTTTGGAACCGATTTTCTCCCAGTTATTGTGCTTCAGATCACCTAAACTAATATCATCAAAGTATTTGCTACTCCATCCATTTTGCTTCTTTTCTTCAGCTTCATATGTCCATTTGCACACTAACGAACAAAGAGACCTGTAAAAATATTATACACCTTTTCAAAAATATACTTATAATGGAGGTTATCTATATTGCAAGAATATGAAATATGAAAATTACCTTGACTGAGATCCTGTTGCTTTCCAAGTAAGAAAATCTGGCAGATCAAAAAAATATCCAGCTTTATCCCAGCATTGTTCTTTTAAATTTCTCTTCAGCCACAATAATTTTGGTGTTTCCATTTCCAGCGATATTTTTCCACCAACATATTTGAGAACAGGATTATTTAAATAATTAATGAAAGCAGCTTCATCATTAGCTCGATGATCCATCCATAAAATAATATTCTGTTCATTATTTCCTGTAATACAACAATTTGTTAAGGAACAAAACAATGCAGAAAAAATATCCAATATCAGCTCAAAAGTCCGTAAGTTGCGTTAAGGAATAACTCACCTGTAGGACTGACAGATAATGGTTTACCTTCCTTATCAACAACAACTAATGAACATGTGGCATCCACACCAACTCCTTTCACACAGGCCGGTGAAATATTTTCCGTGACAGCCTAAAAATGTTATTCAGTTCATTCACCATCTTACAGTATAAACAAACTGGGTATAACATTATTTTTTACCGACCTTCACAGTTTTGCAACAAGCTCTCCAAATGTCATCTGAAGATTGCTCGAAGAAATTTGGTTTGGGGGTCCACGTATTTATAGGTTCAGTGTCGGTTTTTAAAATCTTCCCTTGCTTGTCAACTAGAGCCGCTCTTACGCTTCCCGTGCCTACATCAATACCCACGAAGTAAGATTGCGTCGAATCCCCCATCGCTAATACTGTCACAGGTGCACGCGGTCGCGGACTTTAAGCAGAGACGCAGTCGGTTGCTTTCTGAGCTCTTGAAATTCGATACGGCCTCTCCAGTCGCTCGAAACAATCTTATCATTCCGGCAAACGGATTCGACCTTGCTCTAGCGGCGACATAACGCGGCGATTAGCGCTAATCTGTTTAATGCACGGCATGCGTGTGATGTCTGCACTACCAACACGCCAATACACGCAGCTGTTCGCGTCGGCATTCACACTTCAGGAGTCGGCGACGGCCCTGGATTATCGAGCGGTGTGGAGTTTCGTTTCCTTTTCCGCCAAACGAGTAGGTTGGCCAAGGCCCTAAGTTGGCTGGGCCACTGCAAGGAAATCGACATCAGCTGTTCGCTTAGTACGTCGCGCGTCCTGGAGGAGAGGAGAGGAGAGGAGAGGAATGTCGCGCGGTCGCTCCGCGAGTGGGAGAGCGTCGCCCCAAGTTGAGCTGGAAGAGAAGCGCGGGAATTTTCAAACACACAAACCTTGAACGGGCTTGGAGGCAGTGTCAAGATAAGACACACAGCAAGCACTCTGCTGATTATAAATGTTAATATCGCGATTTTGGTCGAGTTGTCCCTCATCTTGTGTCTGCTGCAAGCCTTCCGTAAATATCAACATGATACGTACTGTAGTAACAAGATAAGACACAACTTACTGTGGCTGGTAAGACGTGTTACTTCCCCAAACCCTTCAAATTACTAGTTTGATATGGGCTAACATTCCACACTTCTTAAATCATTGTTTCAAAAGTGAAAACTAGTGGTGCTAAGCAGCACATACTTTCTCGCCCTTTTTTTCACGCAAATTCATGCCAATTTGAAACGTAATTAAACCTGTCTAATTTAATTAGTCCTGCTATCCGTTATTTAATTCCTCTAATAATTAATAATTTTGCTAGCTCTGGTTTTCTTTTAAGATCTTGCATGAGTTAGACTTACAACTTGCGTCACCTTACCTGCTGCACGTGGATGTGAGATTCTGTACAGAAATCACGATTCCTAGAACTTCTGTGGAATGTACTACCTCCTGAATTGATGACAATTCAATGAAATATCAACCTTTTCTTTTCAAACAACAAGTAACATTTGTTGTAACATTTTAATAACATGTCTCAAGCTCGTTATTAATTCATGATTCTATGGACTTTAAACATTATTTAACCACACAGCTTTGATAATCGTGAGCTTACGGAATGCACTCCTTTGATATGATGCCGCCGTCTTCTCCAAAAGGGGATGTCCTGGATCCTCCTTTCGTGTAATTTATGAGCCTAATGTCCGTGTAAATTTTGAATGTTACTCGACTGTTGCTAATTATACTGTCCGCTATTAGGAAAATCCCTACATCTGCCCTAATATTATCGCGTCGCCACTTTCCCTCACTGGACTTCGGATGAAAACTGTATTCGCGACTACTATTTCCTTAAAATTAATAATTCTCCCTACGGAACTAACCTTATATAAACCCACGAACAAGAAGTCTAAATATTTAAATGCAAAATTCATACACGACAACAAAGGTAACTATTATTAAAACAATGCAAACATTTACCCACTTAAAACTCGAGTAAACAATACTGCTCAGCTTACACAATTATGGATTAACCAAACAAACATTTACCCACAACATAAATCTATTAACGCAAAATTACAATTTTATAATGTTCATACAATATGAACTGCTTGTCTGCTTCAGTGAGAATTCGCTTCTTTTTGCTAAAGTTAAATTTTCAACACCCTCCCCTAATCAATTCCATGTTAATGACACCTGGCCGTGCCGTACTTCGACAATACAATTCTCGTCTAGCATCCAGCATGGCACGCCTAAATGTTTATAGTTCGTTGCTATGTTATGCGTGTTCCTTGGGGTTTAACTTTTTAGATGAGTCCATTACTTTGTATCACACACATGCGATATTGTGGTATGTCACACATGAAACTTGCATCCTTCTCTTAAACGTCCTTTAGACTACCCAACAACAAAATGTAATTAAACTCGATGGAGCTACTTTTTTGAAAATATGGAAAATTTCCCAGGGGTTTCATGTAAAGTACTCCTCAAAATTAAAATTTTGGTTTCAGATTCAAGGGACCGTGACATCAATCAGATTGATTGGAGAATATTAATTTCGGAGAAAATTGACTGAAAGGTTTTGCCGCTAGCGTTGTTCACAGAAGGACAGACAGACGGATAAACGGACGGATAAACGGACGTTTTGCCGTCATTCGATTTTTCGGTAACAAGGTCTCACATAACATATATTCTGGCTACATTACGTGTTAGAGTTTTTTAAAATTTAGCTGCGGGATATATCCACTTTATTGTTACTAGAGGCCTGTTATAAGAGTTTTTCGGCCGAAAATTCGCCGTTTTTTCGTGCAGTTTACAGAACTTTCTTTCGTTTCCATTGCGAGACAGTATAATATCTTCATATTGGAAGGCAACGTCGATAGTTTCTGGCAAGCCGCGTTGCGAAGTTGAACGAGTAATTTAAAAGGTGGAATAAAATGTTCAAAAAGGTCTTGTTTTGTTGACTACGGCATACGAAACGTAACTCGTTTAGTGAACACGGGAGCCTTCTTTGAAGTGTCTATACTCCAATTTAAAAATAGTGGCACTTCAAGGTCACGAGCTGGACGGAGAGAGTAACATTGTTATCCAATTGGAAGCTTACGACTTAATGTTTTCGTATTGGAGATTCCTATTGGATGGCAATATCCCTTTCGCTTTCAGCTCGTGTTCTTGAAGTGCCCCTAAGACGCATCATTTCCGAGTAATGCACCACGGCGTGAGTTGTGGATTACATGGATGCCTGCTGTGCCCTAATATCGTACTCTGTGCATTTCTAAACTTTTCAAAGGCAGTAGCACGTGTGCATCGAACATTTCCGAATTTATTTAAACGAAACATAATGTAAATGAACTATTAAAGTTGTTATTTAACATTTATGTAAGTTCGATATTTTCTACATTTATTATATAAAATTATGTTATGAAACATTTGCAAATTATAAAATGTAATTATAAAATGTATTTTTTTTTATTTTCAATGACTGGAAATGAAGCGTTCCCTCAAAAAGTTATTTCTACTCTTGTCTGGATCAGCGCAATATGCATAGCTTAATCGAACCTCTATAGAACGGGCGGGAACGGGATAATTTGTTCAATTAAGCCGGTTGTCAGTAGGTACAGACACAAACTTAAGTTACTTAAGGAGAGGCTAATATCAATTATTTTATGAAGGACTGGAAGAATAATTTACACTTGTTCTTTTATGAGAGAAAACTCTCTGCTCTATGTAAATACCTATAATCCATAAATACACACTGTAATTTAACAAATTTAAAATTTAAAATCTTACTGTTACATTGGTAGTGCGCAGGACATTGTATTTGAGTCAGATGCTTCAGATTTTATCCGCAAGATTTTTTCAACTTTCGAAATCCATGAAACCTGTACTTTAGAAGTATGAGTGACAGTGAGTGGCAATTTCTATGATTTTATACCACTTAATAAGAGTGTCGAATAGTAAGTTAACATCAAATAATACAGTAAAACCTGCATTAAGCTACCACTGTTTGTTCCACGAAAAAAGTGGCGTCTTACTTAATTGGAGGAATCTTTAATACATAATTAAAGGATTTTAGTAAATATGCACGAATTTCAAACAGTGTCACATTTTACTTTCTCGCTACCGCTTGCGCGGAAGAGAGAAAGTTATGTAATACTATGCGAAAGAAACTGCGGATTTTCGACAGAAAATATAGTATTACAGTATCCTGGCAGCGAAAAAGTGTATAGTAAATCAAGATGCAAAATTTAGAAAAAAAATCGTCTAACACCGGAATAAAAAGCCACAATCCATATTTTGCGTGTCCTTAATACCGAAATATCGATAGAAAGCATAACGTCTATTCGTCGGTCTGTCTGCAAACAATGCTCCCTAAATCGTTCAGCCGATTTTCTTCAAAATTGATATTCCCTCATTTGATCTGGCTGATGCCACGGCCCCTTGAGTTTGAAACCGATGTTTCAATTAGGGGGGTACTTTACATGAAGCCTCTTGTACATTTTCAAAATTTTGTTCATTTTTTATTAAACTTTGTTATTGAAGAGTGTGAGGTGTTTATGAGAATGGTACAGGACTCATAGTTAAAAAAACGTATTTTTTGAAAATTGAAAAACAATTTTTCCGTCGTCTTCCTACAACTACAATTATGAACTTTTTCGCCTTACGAATTCCTTCGTAAGAGGAAAAAGTTATGCTTTCGTGCACCAGAAAATGGCGATTTTTTACTTTCCCTCAAACATTCATATAGGAGTAACATACGTAATATAGGGAAAGTTATATAATGCTGCACGAAAAAACGGCGAATTTTCGGCAGAAAAAGTTCATTCCCGGGACCTGATAAGAGCGTAGTGGTGCTACACAATGTCACAGACTTTCTCGTATTAGTTTTCTATTTTGTTTGGTCCGGCTAGCTTCACGGACTTGTCACATGCTCTTGTCAGCTGTCATCTACGAGTATTGCCGTCAAAAGAACATTTTTTAAAATTTTCTTCATTTTTCGTTTTCCAAACTGTAGAGCGGCGGAAATATTATTTTAAGATTATTATTAGAGAACAGTAAAACGTAGTTCTAAATGGCGATTTTCTTTGAGAAATTTGTTGACATTTTAAAAAACCTGGTGTTTAAGCGTTACTGTATGTTTGAAATTTGAAGTTCGTTTTCACAGAAAACTTTTAAGTTTTCGAAAAACTTTATTTGAAGTTATTTTCAGTACTTTAACTCAAAAACACATTAGTATTTACATATTGCTGGAAATGTGCATAACAATGGCGTGAGAGATCTATCAAAACAATTACATTTGTGTAAGTTTAGAAGAAAAAAAATACACCGAAATGAACTTCACGTTATATTAAAGAGTGTAATTAGCACTATCCGTTAGTAATGTTTGAAGTGAAAATTTGGAAATGTTTTTGAGAAAATGGCGTTTGAGCGTTTCTGAAAATGCAGAAGTTTGAGCTAGATTTCACAGAAAATGGTTGTTTTCGAGAAACTTTATGATATTATTTATAGCACATGTACTTATAAATACAATAATTTGAACACATTGACGCTAATATAAATATTAACGACATGAGAGGCTAGTAAAAAAGTTACATTTGTAATATCAATGTATCGTCATCTTAGAGTACATATAGCCCTGTCTCTACCAAAAGTTTAAGGATAAAAATTGGAGCCTTTTTTGTAAAAATCTTGATTTTGTAATTTTTTAAAAATTGCACATATTGCACGTAATATTGCGTGAAAACTATTAGAATTTTCAAATCATGTATATGACCTTTGGGAAAGAACTCACTATGGAGAACCAATTTTATTTAAA